ACAGACCTCTGAAAGTAACACTGCTAGTGAACCTAATGCCAAGAGATAGTGGTGCTATTGCAGATATTAATAGTGTGCAGTTTGAAGTGACGGGATGCATGAAAACTGAGTCCGTTTGGAATGAAGCATTGTCCAGACCCATTAGATATTATTCAAAACTTTACTTGCAGAACTTTCTTCATAACAGAGTGAAAACATCAAATGAGTCATCTAAACAGCTCCACAAGACATATGCCAGTCCAAGGCATAGGCTCAGCACCTTACAAAATATGAAATAACCCAAACAGATCTATAAGCAAAGGTCTCTCTCCTATAGCATCCATTTTGCCTGGAGCTGTTTTCCTGGAGAGCTTCGTTTACATCCTTATTCCATGGAGCCTAGGAGCAAAAGAACCAAAAGCAACTCCCTGTTAGGCAGGAGGAAACAACAATAGTTAATCATCAACTCATCAAAGAGTTCAGAGAGCACTTCTTGGCTTTAATATAGTTCCTTGGAAACCCCCATGTTAAAGCTTACATTAATACACATAGCCATTCCCTTTTCATTTTCAATAAAACCAAGAAAACGTTTAGTCAGCCCCTCTTGCAGCAGAAACATACAATCTCAACAAATATTATTAATGAGGGAACTTATTGTTCTCAATCAATATGCATAAAAGAGTTAAGTATTTATTTTAGGGAAATGACTGGGAAATGGGAGTGGAGAAGCAGTTGAAAACTTCATTAAGCAAGGAATAAAAAACATACTGTATCTGACAAGCTCAGCCCAAGCCATAATAGTGAGTAGAACCTGCAATTCAAATAAATATTGATTTCTTCCTCTTTCTATTGTTGAAACCAGAGTAACAGCACATAAACATTTACACTGGCAACACAGAGTGACGTCACCAAACCCACAGCCTGTACGTCACCTGGTGATTTAACGTCTTATAGGAAGGCCGGTGCCAAGTGCTTGTTTGCTTGCTAGACTTTTGTATTCATATTTAGAAATATTAGATATTGATTTCTAATGCTGTGCACAGGAATAAGATCTTGCACTAAAAAAAAAAGACTTAAGGACACAAGCCACAGATTGTGCAAATGCACATTCACTCCCATTTACCCATGAGATGTAAATACTTAAATACCTGCCTCTCTGCTTGCCTGTATAGAAAACATTAACTCCTAGGGAAAGAAATCTACATATGTTACATACTGCATTTTAAAGTTATCTAATTAGGGGGGAAACATCACTATAATAATACACAATATGCTACTAGGTTTCGTAAGCAATGTCAAGTATGAGTATAAAAAGGAGAGAAAAAATATAGTTGGCACTATGTGTCATCACAAGTTCTGTTATTGTGACATCACCAAGCCCTACCTATTGAATCTCAGGTTTTAGGGTACTTATGATGCGGTAGCCAGAGTTGTCTCCAGGCAACCAAACTGAGATTCTGCTAACTGGGATACAATTGTATCACTCAACTGTATCACAAATGAATGAAATAGGTGTATGAATAACTGACCTTGTAAAACATAAGTGGTCTAATATGCTTCATAATTCTATTTACAAGGCTATGAAATGTTGCTTTAATGCAGGGATAAGGAAAGCTGTGTTTCTCCAGGGGTTGTTGGCTTCCAACTCTTTTCGGCCTCAGCTAGCATGTCAAGGATGATGGGTTTTCTGTGGGGAAAAATAGGAGGGAGGACCTATATAGGCTGTCCACAGCATTTTGGAGGAAAAGTGGGGTGAAGGTTAAAATGATAATTCTAATTTCTCCAAGTATTATTCCATGTGCAATAATGAGTTGTTCGTTACTAAGCAGTGATAGGAATGTCCATCTTCTCTTATTAGGACAATACAAACTGACTTTAGCATTTATCTACACACACCAATATGACATTACAAGACAATTTTTAAAAATGTCCACAATTATAACTTTAGTTTTAATTGGAAAGTTAATTTCTGCTTTCAAGGATATGGAAGAAAACCTCGTTAAATTGTTTTTATTTAAAATTAAAAAATAGAATTATTATCTGTCTGTTGCTTTATAGAAATGTCTGATAAATCATGACTCATTGTGTCCATCCAGTGCATTTGAACTCTGAAGAGAGGAGGTGGCTGACATTGGTTTCAAATAAGTGCATACTTGCCTATCCTGGATATATTCAAAAAAGTCAAACCAAATTGTATACAGTAATTGGTGTTTTTGTTTTTTTATGTCCCCTAAATAGTTACACTTCTCCAAGACAGTCAGGAACCACACCTTCTCATGTTATGATTACAATGACCTCCGTAGGGATGCCCACCAATGTCTAGGGATTTATAGCTTTGCAGACATTACTCCCTCCCCCTGCCCCCAAAATATGACTGACGTTCTGCTTTTTCTATCATTGTTCTGGTTGTCCCAGATACTTAGCAGTGCCAATGAGGGCATTAGTAATAAGTCCTGTGCTGAATTAATTTCACTGAACACAGATTCCCAAAAGGAGGCTACCTTAGGACAACAACTGAGGTGGAAATACATTCCTTTGCCCTGCCCCAGAAAACACTGGAAGTTTCACGCAACTGTAGTAACAGGTAATTAAAGCAACAACAATAGACAGACTCACAATTGTTGAACTGTTGTCTTGGTAATTTTGAAGAGGGCATGCTCATGAACGTAGAGACAAGCTTGGAAAACAAGCCTTATGAGGAACGGTTGAAGGAACTGAGTATGTTTAGCCTGGAAAAGAGAAGATTGTGAGGAGAGATGATAGCCATCTTCAAGTATCTCAAGGGCCACCATTTGGAATAGAGGTCAGCAACCTTTTTCAGCAGGGGGCCAGTCCACTGTCCCTCAGACCATGTGGTGGGCCAGACTATATTTTGCAGGGAAAAAATGAACAAATTCCTATGCCCCACAAATAACCCAGAGATGCATTTTAAACAAAAGGACACATTCTACTCATATAAAAACACACTGATTCCCGGACCGTCCGTGGGCCAGATTGAGAAGGCGATTGGGCTGCATCCAGCCCATGGGCCTTAGGTTGCCTACCCCTGAATTGTGGAAGATGAAGCAAGCTTGTTTTCTCCTGCTCTGGAGGGTAGGATTCGAACCAATGGCTTCAAGTTACAAGAAAAGAGATTCCAACTAAACATCAGGAAAAACTTCCTGATAGTAAGAGCTGTTCAGCAGAGGAACGATCTCCCTCGGGAGGCGGTGGACTCTCTTTCCTTGGAGGTTTTTCAGCAGAGGTTGGCCACCTGTCATGGAAGCCTTAGCAGGGATTCCTGCATTGCAGGGGGTTGGACTAGATGGCCCTTGGGGTCCCTTCCAACCCTACGATTCTAACTATGCAGTTGGATCAGGCCAAAGGCCCATCTATATGAGCTGCCAACCAGGTATCTGGCCCAAATATCTGGAAGGCTGTCTCTTTTCCCACAGACCCTCTTGGGTGCTGAGATTGGCAGAGGGGATTCCCCTTGGTAGTTCCTCTGCCCTCAGAGGCAGAGGGGATAGTGGCCTGGAAGAGGGCCTTCCCCATGGAGGGCCCCCTAAGCTGTGGGATACAGAGGTGGCCTTCATTACACAGAATGCTGAAGATGCTCCTCTTTGCCCTGGCTTTTGATGCTTGAGATGCCTATTTTCAGGATGCACTATGCTTCTGTTTTAAACACTGTGTTTTTAGCAGAGCAATAATCTGTGTTGAAGGACATGAGCCCAACAGCCTTCTCCACACCGGTGGCATAGGAAGGGGGGTACGGTGGGTGCGGGATGCCCTGGGTGTCAGCACTGAGGGTGTGTGTGACAAAATGGCAAAAAAATGTTTTGTTTTTTAAAAATATTGGGCTCACTTTAAAAAATAATAACAATTTATAATTATTATTAAATAATATTATTTAAAACAAGTTTAATAACTTCGTCTGACAATTAATTAACCTTGATTTTGACGATGTTATTTCAAAATTTGCAGAGAACAAAGTTAGGTGGTGAAGGGGAAGGTTTTAAGTGCTTATGCTCCCAATGTTAAGTAAATAAACCAGAAAATAACACTTGAATACTTATATTCTATTTTTCCTTCTTTTAATAATTTCAATGTTGTGTGTGGGGGATGACAAGAAATTTTCCCCACTGAGTAGCACCTGACCTTGCTATGCCACTGCTCCACACCTGCGTGGGCGCCAGCAGACGGCATTCAGAGGCATGTTTTCCTCACGAAACCCAGATGGGAGGGAAACTTTCAGCGTTATTATATTTCTCTCAGTCAAAAAAAGAAAAAAAGTCAATGTGAGGGAATGGCGAATTCGCGCCCATTTCGCCCCCTCCCCTCCAAGCCCTCATGCCAAACATGGAGAGGGGAGAGCGCGAGGACGAACCTTAGTCCCCGCCCCCTTCTATGCACGCGCCCCATTCGTTTTTCTCCCACCCCGCCCACCTCGGGCGGAGGTGTGGGGGGACAGCTTTCTATCTCCCTCGAGCGCCTCTTGTCCGTTATTGTGACGCATGAAGCGTGTTCCCGCCCACTCCCCGCCTTCTCTCTCTCTCTCTCTCTCTCTCTCTCTCTCTCTCTCTCTCTCTCTCTCTCTCTCTCTGTGGCGCTCTCCGCCGCTTCCTGCTGGGCATGCGCAGCTCGCCTCGCGCTTCCGTTCCGGCCCCTCCTTCCCCCGACTACCCCGCCGCTCCGTTCCTTTCTCTTTCTCGCGTGTCAGAGAGCGGCGGCGGCGGCGGCGAGGCGAGCGCGGCGGTTCCCTCAGGGCTGACGGAGGGCTCGAGGAGGAGGAGGCAGGACGTGGAGGCGGAGAAAGCGGCGGCGGCGGCGGCCACCCCCCACCTCCGGCTCCAGGCCCTCGTAGAAAGCTGAGGGGGAGAGATAGCTAGAGGTGGGCGGCGGCGGCGGCGACCACGACCAAGCGCCACAGCAGTTGTAGCGGCGGCGACGGCGAGCAGGGACTCCCGCTCTCTCTCCGTCTTGTCTCTCTCTCTCTCTCCCCCGGCCCGTCCGTTGAGTCTCCCGCGCGCCTCGGCGGCAAGATGAGCATCGAGATCCCGCCGGGTCTGACGGAGCTGCTGCAGGGCTACACGGTGGAGGTGCTGCGGCACCGGCCGCCGGACCTGCTGGCCTTCGCCGCCGAGTACTTCGGCCGCCTGAGGGAAACCCGCGACCAGGAGCAGAGGGAGCTTCAGGCTGGCGTGGGGGCCAGGGGCAAAGGGGTCAACTTCGGCGCCGAGCCCATGCAGACAGAGTCCAACGGCGAGGAAGAGCGCAGGGACGAAGACTCCGACTCCGACTTCGAGCGTGAGTGAGGGGCGGGTCGGGGTCAGGGGGCGGCCTGGGGGTGGGGGTGGGGTGGCCCTCCACCCCGTCCTCTGCCTGGCCTGCAAGTGGGGGGTGGGTTGGGGGGTTGTGTTTTAAAGGCTCTAAAGATTGTTATTATTATTACTGCCCCCAGACCCCAGGAACTGTAGGAAACAATAGGGGCAGCCCTGTTCAGGGAAGTTTTTTATGTGTGATAGCGTATTTTTGGTCTTTGTGGAAGCCGCCCAGAGTGGCTGGGTACAAATAATAAATGTATTATTATTATTATTATTGTTAATTATTATTATAGTTGCCCTTCCACGCGCCTGCGGCTTCTGCAAAAGGATCGCTCAACGCGGGACTGGTTGCGCTTTTCAGCTCGCATTACAGCCCTTGTTAGTCTGATCAGCGAAAGATGGGCTTAATCTCTCTCTCCCTCGCTGCTTTACACGGCTTGTTTCTGCGCCAAGGGGGTGGGTGGGGGATCCTCACCGCAGGTTTCTTGAGTTCCACGACGGGAGAAAGGCGAGACATAAAAACGTGCCCGACAGATAAACATGCCAGAAAGGATCTGCAGATAATAGCGAATGCACAAGGGTGTGCGTGGCTCTCTCGTACAGGGAGTAGGTGTGACCTTGCGTGTGTAGTGAAAGAAGGTGCAGTGTATAAGATAGAGAGCCTTTCTGTCTTTATTCTTTTCCGCCTGCCAAAGAGGGTTATTAATTGTTATGGGTTTGTTGACTGTGCGGTTGCAATAGCAGCTTAATCTTGTCCCCAGCCATTGCATTGTCTGCCCTAGTACCAGGGTACTTGCACACAACTGGAACTGAAGTTAATTGTTCAGAAGACGTGCCAGTTGCTTTAGAATGTCTGCAGTTGAATCTTAGCCACCTGGCAAAGAGATAAGGCATGTGAAAGCAAATTATTGTGGAGTCCTGATGATACTATGCCATGCCTTCTATTTAAGTTTGTGGTATATAAATATTTTTATAAAAGCATTTTGCATGGGTGGGAGTAATTTGCTTCGCTTGAGTCAGTCTTAAATGAATGAGAGCCTTCTTGTGAGCAGGGGGAGGGAGGGATTTAGGTGGCTGGAAAGGAAGAAAGCTTTCAAGGAAATCTCAGGAGGGTGGAGGGAGTGGCTTGAAGGAGTCTCCTCTCCATTCTGGAATGTGTGGTGGAGTGGAGAGGATTTACAGCACCCATTTTTGTGTGTGTGGTAGTATGATCCTAGCCTTTCAGCTATGTTTCTGGAAGGATGAGAAGAGCATGAAGTGAATCCATCATTCTTGGAGCAGAGCTGTTTGTGCAAGTAGTAGGTTCTTTCATGATGTTATGAGAAGGCAGAACCCCCTGGAGATGACCTCAACTTTTGGAGTGAGGTAACAGGCTTTCTCTTTGTGTAGATGTAGGTAATGTTTTGGAGATTCCCACAACAGCATTTAGACTGGACACACTATGGATATGTTGGAGATATATTTGCCAGGCTTGAGAGGAGGGGAAAAGTAAGGAAGGTTTCTTCCCTCCCTAGTCTTTTTTTTTTTTTTTTTTGAAACATTCATAGAAGGTACTGTAACTTCCTGAATTGTGATACACTTTTGCTGGGAGTGAGAGTTCGGACTGTGTAAGGCTTATGTTTGTTAAGATTATGTACGAGTCTGGGTCAGGACTGTCATGCTATCATGAGAGCTCCCTCATCCCTTTACAATGATGTCAAAAGCAGTCGGTGATTACAGATTTTAAAATCAGGTGGTTTTTTTTATAAAAAAAATAGAAAATTCCAAGAGGATATTTGGGTTCATTTGTTGCAGCAAATACAGCAAAGAGCCTTGTGCCACCTTAAAAGCTAACAAAATATTATGGCTTTCTAGGACTAAATTTGTTCAGACTGTGTGATTACTCTTAAATACTAAGTGTCTCCTAAATAATAACTACTTGAATATTAAACCTGGATCTAAGCAGTTAATCCTTAAACTCAACCATTAATTCTATCAGTTGCATGGTTGAAGGTGGCTTTCCTATGTAAGTGAATACCCAATTTGATCATTTCTCATATACTTTACCTACCACATACACACACTTGATTTCCCACAATAATTATGAATGCTGGTATGAGTGCAGCCTTGGAGTGCTTTATTCCCATGACAGATACTTTACCTTCTTTGTATGTGAGTTGCTCTGTTCTTAATTTCAGAATACTGTATGATAAAATAGGGTTGAATGGAATGCTGGGGTTGTGGGAAAATTGTTTCCTGTTGAGTTTTAGATCAATTGATTAGGTGTTACAGAAACCAGCAGTAAAGCATAACCAGTTTTCATGGTGAAGACTTGACATGATGTAGGATTTATTTCTTAGTGTGACATATGCTGTTGAAATTTTAGAAATGCAAGTGAGTTTAAGTTAAGTATCTCTTAAATTAATTCCTTTAACTTCCTGAGCTAAATATCTCTTCAAATAAATTTCATTCCCTTTCCCCCAGAAGATGCAGTGTAAGTGTGGAGGTAAGGAGTTCTCAAGTGATCCATTTGCCTTGCCAGGTTGCACTTTCACCTCTAGCATTGTGTTAGAAACTGGGATAGGAAAGAGAGGAGCCATGTCCAGGTCCCCCCCCCCCATGGTACCAGACCAGGTGATTCACCTGGCAGCATTTTTTTTTAAGATGCATCTTTTGCTGCTGGGCAAAACAGGTGTTTTGCAGGGTAGCACACAGTGCCCGACCAACTGACTGCAACCAAGCAGGTGGAGATGCTAAGCGCAAAAAGTTGGCGCCCAGATATCTCCATCCAGTCATAAAAGGCTGGTTGCCAGTTGGAAAATGTGACTGGCGCCCAGCTAATTTTGAACATTGCATAAGATTATTTAAATTTTATATATAACTTACCTGTCTTTCATCATAGTTAGATGTTTCTACTCAGCCCAAGCTCTTCTGTCCTTGTATCTAATACTCCTTAACACTAAATTGTGAATTTGGAGTTAATACTCAGTAACTTAGTTCCTGACTTTCCTTCTATGAATGGACCAGACTTAACATTAACGGGAAAGGGATTTCTAGCTTCCTCCTTCCTTTTGCTGTCCCTTGTAAATCTGTTCCAGGGGATTGATGGACCTTTGGAAATGACGTACAATGTGGTGCAAGGGCATGTAGAGTTTTTGGGTAAAACACCCCCCCTTACTTTAATGGCAGAGTAATTTAGGTTCCAAGGTAATGTGTTTTGTCTCCCAAGTTCCTATTTGAGCCAACTGTCTGCTTAAGTCTGAGAGTTTAATGGCTACAGTTTTGGACCAGAAAGATTCCATTTCAAATCCTGACTGATCCACGAAGCTTATTTGGTGACCTTGTCAGTCATAATCTCAAGAGCTGTGTGGATAAAATGGATAATCCATATGTGTAGTGGTCAGAGCTCCTTCAAGGAAGGGTGAAATACAACTGTAATAAAATAAGCAGTTAGATTTGTTTATGTAGTAAGTATAGATTTATTAGAAATAATTTTCTGCTAATCTGTTTTCTCTCTTTGTATTGGGGTCACTGTGGTGGTCTTTGGTTTATATAGCAGTTAATGTTGTAACTGCAATAAATTTTCTCCATCTTCAGAGCAGTTGTGACCAAATAATATAATAAATAAGCTAATATATTTGAGACTATGTGGGACCAACTTTGAAGACACCTTGGAAATCACAAATGGTTTACAATATTGCCATCAAGGTTTTACCTGAGGCTGGTTACTCAGAATATATTACTGAGTATTATTCATTTGGTCTCCTGGTTTGTTTCAGAACCCAGTTTCCTTCCTTTTAGAACTCTTAATAGTTTGTACTTTGGTTTTCTCCGAGAGACTTACTGCAGCCTGTTCTATTGAGATGAGGGTGTGTTCTTTGTTTCCCTACTGTCTCTGTGATTTAGTGGGACAGGGTGGGGCTTGTTTTGGTGGTGGTACCTAGGCTGTGGGAGATGTATTTGGCTCCTTTGGTTTTTTCATTTTCTCATGAATACTGTATTTTCCAATGGTGGGGTTTGATTGATTCCCCACACCACCTTTTCTAAGGCTAGTTTCTGTGTTGTTCTTCCATGTATAATATAGTGATTACTGTTTTTTCATCAGTGGTTTAATTAGTGGGGGCCTTTTAGCTGAAAGGAGATATAGTCATGTTAACACAACATATTTTATCCTCCAATTGAAGATAAGTCTGGCTCAGCCCAAAATGAATTGTCACTACAATTTTATTTTGTGTGTGAAACAACTTATTTTACCACTTTTTTTTTAGTTCATAAGTTTATTGTACTAGCCAGAGGCCATGGAAAGTCTATAAAATCAGAAATAGTTTAAATTACAGAGTGAGCAATTACAGTACACAACAAAATCCTGAAGTACGAGAGAATAGGTAACAAAGATACCATCATATCTGGACAGACGAAATAATCAATTTTCACCTCCTAGTCCCCCATACAGGTATTTCTTAATCTTTTAAATCTTTTTTGTGGCCATATGATTTTGTTACCCACCTTAAAGTCACTACATATATGGAAATGTGGAATAGGTTAGTCTTATAACTAAATATGCAGTGTGAAATAAGTTTTCAGGGAGTTTTCTGGTGCACCTGAACCCAAGCAGCCTTGCTCTCCCTTCCTTCACTGAGAACTCTCTCATGCACTCTGAGTTCCTGCTTTGTGCAGTGCTTCAAAGGCTCATGACAACCAGCTGGTTGTCAAGTGCTTTGGGAACTACAGAAAATAGGCTTTTGACAAGCCCTGTCCTTACCTGTATGGCGTTAGTTGTATTGAGGGAAGTGCCTTTCCCAAAAAGGCCTTGCAGGCCAAATGGGGAATCATGGCAGGGCCAAGACAGGCCTATGGGCCCAAGGTTCTGTATCCCCAATCAGGGTTCAAAATTAGCAGGGTGCCAGGCACATTTTGCATCTAAAGATTCTCCATTTGTGAGCACCTCAAAAACTCTGGGTGCTATTTTTGTGCCTGGCTGATACTCGAGGATTACTTAAATGT